AAAAAAAAAAAAATTCATATATCGACCTACTAACGTCCGTGCAACGTCGACAAATATTTGCATCATATTGTCATACTATTTACTCCGATGATGCACGTTATTGTTATTTATTTTAATTAATCTAAAAATAAAATATGCTTATTTCTAAATTCTGCATTGTGCACGAAAAATTTAATATAAAATGAGATTAAATATATATCTTATATTTTGTAATAAGTTTTCAAAAGTATAGATAGTTTTCATAATTACCATAATTTTATTTGCTTAAATACGTAAGATTCAATAATTTCCAAAATACCCTGTGTTCAATTGTACACGGTGACATAGTTTTTTAGAAGCAAGAAATATCAAGCGTTCCTACTGTCGATAAATGTGAGTATACGAGAAGAAAAGAAAGAGATAGTCGATAAAGAAGAATCACAAGCAATAAATGAGAAAAATTTATACTTTAATCTTTACATGGTAATAATACCGAAGCCCTCTCGCTCCTATATCATGTTATAAAAGATCTTATTAGTTTTACTCGAAATAATAAAAAAAATAATATAAATATAATTATTTCATCAAGTATTCCACCATAATAACAATTATTAATAACTTTTTGATAAGTAGGAAATAAATTTTGATTCTATTTCTGAATATCACTTAATACATACACATACACATATAAATGTATATAAAATTATTATAAGAATCACTTATAAAACAAATAATCACATTGCATCGAATATATTTATGACAGTGGCATAATTAATTTGAGCATTCTCCTATATACTGATTCATAATGTTAATCACCAAATTATTAAATCAGCGCTGTATGTTCGGGATATATTTACTTCTCGATCTTTTTTTTTTTTTTTGATAAAGGAGATCTACCGCTTGAAGCAACAATTTGGAACGGGATACCCGTCTAGACGGGTATCTCTAGAAGAGGTCCTCATAAATATTTATGAATTTAAAACACATAATTACTCCAAAGAGAAGCACTGCTGCACAATGTGCATGTATGCAACAAAATGTACCCGACTTTTTATCCGTCTCCTTTCTCTCCCTCTCGTTTGCAATGCCAAATCTATATGTTTATGCAAATTTTTGGCACTGCGAATTTTAGCTTCCATTTACGAGATTTTATCGATTGTACTTTATAAACATAAAAAGTGTAAAAAGAGAATAATTTCGTAAACAATTTGCCTTGCAATAACATAATGTTTTTCATCGTAAAAACTTTGAGAACTTCGAAATCTTTCTTACTTGTGTCGGAAAATGGATTCGTTGCTAAAAATTATATTAAAATTGTAATATAAATATCATTATGTACAAATAATTTAATAATGCTACTCTCTTTCTTTTAATCTTTCCTATTTTTATTTTGTAAAAAGTATTACGCAGTAGAAATATAATAAAAATTACGTAATCTTTATGCAAGGAATCAATGAGAAATAATATTTTATATCAACTACATGTAAATTAAGTTATTTTTAATCGCCTTAATTCTATTTCCATTTTGTTTTTTATTGGTTTTATAATTGTTTCTCGTTCATGCAATTGACGTCATGTACGCCGCGGATAATGGTGATCACAATTAAAAGCGATGAATTGCGAGAAAATATTCTCTTTGCGATTCAATATCAACTGCATTGTTTTCTCAAACTCGCGTAAATATTCTCTTGGTCTAGAATATATAGAGTTTTATGGTAAAATTAAATGTAAATTCGACAAAGAGCTAATTATAGTATACGATTAACATAATTATTTATTTTGTTTATATTCAATTTAATAACTGCAATAAATTTACGATAATTAAAAATATATATCGCTAGATTATTAATTTTACGATAAATATACAAATAGAGAGCAAAATGCAAATCAATAGCGCAAATTAGTTTTCCATTGAATAACTTCTCAGAGCAAATGATAAAGCATAAATATATTAAATT